AAAATGTCCACTAGTAAAACAAAAGTTGAGGCGAATGAAACCAGAAGTATCATTAAAGATTAAGGAAGAAGTCAAGAAGCAACTCGATGTTGGATTCCTTGTAGTAGCCAAGTACCCTCAATGGGTTGCCAACATAGTACCTCAAATTTTCACTTATGTTTGTATTATTACGTATTCCGTAAACAAAATTGTTCTTGTATGCACTATTTGCATTCCTAGCAATAAAAAAAATTGTCTCAATCACCACCTCTTTGTGTCATTTCATCATGAATATACCAATAAAGGAACATGTCATAATGTTAATAATGCATTATAATGAAAAAAATGATGAAGTGATGTGGGCAAGAATGACTAGTTGTTGACAATTCGGAATCTTAAATAGCAAAACATAATCATGATCTAATTGAAGAAGACGAATTCAACATGTTTCATAACAAAAATACATTTCAAAGATAGCTTCCCTCCATGAATCTTGATACACTTGAAATCTTAAGGGGTCAAGCCGTAGGAAAATGTGCATAATAATAATAAAAAAAAACAAATAATCATTACCCAAAAGTACATGCATCATACACCCATCATGAATTTGCATATCACACACCACACATTATGCATTACATATCATACTTTAGTTGTGAATTACATGTCATACACTTTATTTGTAAATTAAGTATTATTCATTACTTGTTTAAATTAAGAATAAATAACTATTTAACCTTTGTTCCATTCAATATACATCTATCTAGACTATTTTAATACTGAGTCCCAGTGCCCAAACTAATCAGATTCGTGCCAATAGTGGAAAGGTGTGAAAAATATTCATGTTAGCCTCTCATGCCCCTTACAAGGTTTCTCATGCCTCTTATAATGTTTAAATTATATGCATTACTTTCCAGGCTCTCAACACCTCAAATCATAGCTTTGTATTTAGTCCCCGAGCCCTAGGTCTCCGAACCCACTTCTAAATTTCCAATCGCAATATTGGATCCCCGCGTCCACTTCTAAGTTTTCAACTTTTTTCAAATCAAAATTTTATTTCAATCGCAAATTGGATCCCCGAGTCCAATTCTAAGTTTTCAATTTTTCAAATTACAATTTTATTTATATTTGCATATTTCAATCGCAATATTGGATTCCCGAGTCTATTCTCAAGTTTTCAACTTTTCAAATCAAAATTGTATTTTCATATTTCAATCGCAATATTGGATTCCTGAGTCCATTATCAAGTTTTCAACTTTCTAAATCACAATTTTATTTACAGTATTTTGGTACATCTTTAATTATGTTTTATTATGATAATATAAATTCACATTCAAATTATCCAATAAAACTTAATTAAAGAGGGGCAACTGTAAAAAATTAAAAATTAAAAAAGTAGCCACCAATCAACCACCCTTTAACCTCCAGTCAGCCACCAGTTAACCACCCTATAGCCACCAGACAGCCAACCACCCTACAACCACCAGACAAATCCTGCATACATATAAATTGAGCTCCATGAAAATTGGAAAAGGGGAGGATAAGTTACCACAGAATTAGAAAGACTGAAGAAAACGATAAAAAAAAAAAAGAAACACCCACAACCCTCAGTCACTCACCATCAGAGAACCATCAGTCATAGCAATCTAGTAACTCAAAACAATCAATAGAGACCACAATCAGAGGCAATCAACAATTAATAATAGAGGCAACAATTAACAGGTTCCCAATTTGTAATATTTGTATTCCTGATTCTCAATTGTAGCATGAAGTAGTTGTTATATACCTAAATATATGGCACAACGATTAATAAAAATTAAAAAAAAAAAACAATACCACTGATGGCTACCACCACACCACTGCAATTCGCCACCTCTACCCATACCTGCGCCTCCTTCACCCTTCCTCACCATCACCTCTCACTCCACTCTCATGATCTCCACTTTCCAGCCCTCACTCCCCCTCCGACAGCCACTTTCGACCACCGCGGTCACCCCATCATTAGCCACCACAGGTATTAGACCACTCATCCTCATGACCCTTACTCTTCGAACCTAGTTGCAGTGAAGTAACCTCCATCACCCCAGCTGAAATCGCTGCGCTTCACACCACCTCCGTCGTGCCCCAAGCCACTGCGAGCCGGCCCTAGCCTCTACGGTCTCATCCTGACCCAGACCCTAGCCACCGTGTGACCATCTCATATGTGTGGCACACTACCCTCATCCTCACTCGTCGCACCCGCCCGTTACCACCATTGCACGACCCTGGATCCGTGCAGCGCAGCCAGTCCCACCGTGGGCTGCCTCCCCTCATCGGAAACCACTGTAGCATTCCCATCTCCCTCAGTTGAACCCTAGTCGTGCGTGCCTCACCCAGCAGCCCTAGCCCCTCTGCAAATCTCATCTCCTACGACTCCCATTAGGTTTAGGTTAAGAGGCTCAAGCAAAAAATGGGCAGAGACGGAAAAGTGGCTAAAAAAAAAACGTGTGGCCCGAATTGGAAGGGGTGAAAATAACAAAATGTTTCAAATAGCAATCTAAAAGTTTTTTATGAGTTATTGGTTCTAATATTTTTTTTCTTTTCTATTTTAAAATTAATAACATAATAAAATAAGTTAAAAAAAACAAAAAATTATTATTATTATTATTATCTTATTATTATTATTATTATTTCATTTCTCCTTTATTTAAAATCAACAAATAAGTAGATGAATAATATTTTACATTAGTCATAATTAAACTTTTTTGTGTTACAGGCTCTTTTTGTAATTAAAACTGTTAAGGTTCCAACATAAAACCAATTGGAAATATGTGGAGTAGCCTAGCATGTATTTAAACCATACCAAATGACATGAGGTAGGCGATGTGGGACTTTCAACACACCCCTCCAACGAAGCCTCGCGGACCGGACAAAGGGTACTTTAGACCCAACTAAAGGGCAACTTTTGGCCCATGACAATAACCGGAAAGATGTTAGGCGACCCATGACAATAACCGGAAAGATATTAGGCTTTGGCTCTGATACCATGTTAAGGTTCCAACATAAAACCAATTGGCAATATGTGGAGTAGTCTAACATGTATTTAAACCATACCAAATGACATGAGGTAGGCGATGTAGGACTTTCAACAAAAACTAATAAATTTACAAAGTTATATCCAAATATAATTACAATTTTGATTTAATTATTGTAAGATTAAAATTTTATGGTTACTTCGAACATATTTTAATTTGATCATTATAAAAATTATTTTAAAATGTTAAATTTTTAGTACAATGAATTTCAAAAGGGTTTAATTATGGTAATAACTGTTTAGGACACATTTTAAACTAATCATTACTTAAAATTATATAAAAAAAGTAATTAATCACTTTGGATGTACTTTCAATTTAATTATCGTGAATTTATAATAATCACTTCAAATGTACTTTTGATTTGATTATAATAAATACTGATTTTTAAAATATCTTAAATCCATGTAAAGAGATGATAAATTTAATAATAATTTTTTTTTAATATTAATAATTACTTTGGATGCAATTCCAATTTAATTATTACTTAAATTATAAAAAAAATCACTTTAGATGCACTTCTAATTTGTTTATTTCATAATTATTCTAAGTATACTTTTAATTTATCAACACTAATAAATAAATTTAAATAAATTACTCACAAATACATTTTTATAACAAAGAATTTAGTTACTTTGATTCTCCATTGCACCTGAGGATACGTAGGAGCGGGGAGATGATCTCTGTCGAGCTAAAAATATAAAAATATATAATCTTTTATTTTTAGTAACAATATTTAATCAATATAAGTTTGAGGGATAAAATAGATAACTTTAAGATATTTAAATTTTTTATGTCTAATTAAAGGTAACCATTTTTAGAACGGATGTTGTAAGGTATTAATACCTTCATTACACCTAATCGACTCTCAAACTCAATCTTTATTTCGTAGGTCACTTTTTTTTCTTTTTGAAGTTTTTTTTCCAATATATTTCCTTAAAATAAATATTGGTAGCGACTCCATTATTTTTTTCATTTAGAAACTTAATTTTGTCGTCCAATCGCGATTGTGATTGCGACAAACAATAAAATGTATATCATATTTAACTATGAACTAAACAACAAGATACAATAATAAACTACACAATAAAAATTAATGTTTATTAAAACTTTCTTGTCAAAAGGACGTAAATATATAATCTTAAGAATATCTTATGAAAATTACTTATTTAAATTAATTTTTTGAAACAATATTTTATTATAGGAGTTTAACTTTCATGTATATAAAAGTCTATCTGTTACCGGTAGCATCAATTGTCCCATGGCGAAGGTCAGGTGGGTCGAGTCATAATCGAATCGTGTTGTTTGAGTTATTACTCTTAAGTAAAAAGAGTTGCACTCTGACTAATAGTTATAGTTTTTAGCCTAGTGGTAAACGTTTGATCCTAACAATTGGTATCAGAGTCAAGGTCACGAGTTCAATTTTTAGTGGACAATATTATTAAGGGGGAGATTGTTGTGGGTTGCACAATTAATCCCGTGACGGAGACCGAGACCGATTGAACTGAGTCACAATCCAAATTCCTTAGCCGGATGGGTGGAAAGTCACAATTGAAACGTGGCTCACCAAAAGAGAAAATATACTTTAACATATTTTTTCACAAGGGAAAATATAGACCAATAAATAAAATTGATATTATATGTATACAAGAAAATCCATAAGGAACTTATATTTAGACTTCAATTTGTTAAGAATTAGCTTTTACCCACCCAAAAAACAAGGACAGAACAAAAATAGTTGGATTACAAAGCCACAAGTGTTACAAATCTGAGAGTTGAACCCTGGTTTTCAAAAGAGTCACTTTCGGAATAAAATTCAAGACCAAAATTGTTTAAAAGAGAGTTCTTGCATTGTTTTATGAAGACGCGTTCTTAATTTCTTTGATAGACAATTTCAAAAGCAACTTTCCCATCACAATTTTACATTTGTTTTGCAAACGAGAGGGAACGATGATGAATGGTAAGATGAGGATGTGCAAATCGGAGAGCGCATTGAAAACGTTGTTGCCGGAGAAACGAGTTCAACGACATGCTTCAATGTTGGAACATGGTTTGGACAAGGGGAAGAAGGGTGCCATTGCACCACAACCTAACCATGTCGATGACAAGAAGGCTGAGAAAGCAGACAAAATCATGCACTTGATTTGTTGGGGACCAACCCTGGCTTAGATCTTAAGTTTCTCGTTGGTTTGTTTGTTTGTTTTTATTTTCATTGATTTTGTTTTCCACTTTTTAACGATTATCTTGTGGTGGTTGTTGCAATGCATGCATTTTTGTTCTTCCCAATCCATGAATCAGTTGTATTTTTGCATTTTGGTTTATATAAGTTCATTATTTCTAGATGAACAGTTGAAGAAGAGAACTCAGAGGAGGTAAAGTAGGGTTGCATTCCTGAGAAGAAATAGAATGGAGTAATTTTTAATTTAAGTAGAATCTACCAATAATGTAAAATTCTAATTTTTTACCATGTTGTATGATTGATTGTACATACTTTCGTATTTTTTAATAAAATATATTTTGTATAAATACACAGTAAGTTTTTTAATTTTATATTAATGACAAAGTTCAAAATTAAATTTAAAATATTCTTTATCAATTCACAGTGATGCATAATACTAATGAAGCAGGATGCGTATAAAATTAAATTATTTAAGAAAACGTGTATACAAGTTTTATCTCATCAAATTTTGATCACATGAGGGTTAAGTTTACTGTGTAGAAAATATAGGTCGACTTAATTAAATTTTGAGATTTGAATATGTAAAATTCAAATCTAAGCTAATCTAGTCAACAGTCTAATTTTATAGAAAATATTTTGACGTAAATTTTTGGTAACAACATTATCCATTCTTAGTTTTATGAGTTGAAGATGAGTTTTAGAACACATAGCATTCTCCCATGTATTTTCATCTAACCGGGTCAAGCGTGACGAAAGAATAGAAGAAATTTCATATATTTTGACTCGCTTCAGAAAGAATGAATGGAGCAAAACAATAATACACTTAAACGATATAATGAAAATAAACAACACTTTGGTCTAGTCAACGGTGATTTCGATTATGCAATAAAAAATAGATAAAAAAATTGGTTTGTGATCGATTTTCAATAATAAATTGATTTTTTTATTTATTTACATAGATTCAACTGTGGGCACATGTTAACCCGCACCCGTGTTTTTTAGTCGTGCTGACTTTTCAAAGAAAATACACAATCTCACGGCAAAGACTTCGTAGCATAACTATTTTTTCTTTTGGACAAAAACTGAATAAGGCTCTTTCCCTTATGTTAGAATTATTTTGAGGGACAATATTACTTTATTATCTTTTATTTAAATTAGATATTAAAAAATTTTATTATCTTTTAAGAGAGAAAATAAAAATTATTAAGTTATTATTTTGATTTAGATAATTATGATTGAAATATTATTGATATTTAATATTTTGTAATATTTTTACTCTATATATACATAGAGTACATGAATAAAAATATACTCACATGATATATCAGAAATACATGTACACAAAACCCTAAAAATTCTCTAACAAATTGGTATCAGAGCCTAGTTCAATAACAATGGAAGGAGAAAAAAAATTTCACAAGTCGCTATTCCAGTCTTTGATGGCAAAAGTTACGACTTATGGGTTGTGAGAATGCAATCTTATCTTGAAGGATTGAATGTATGGAAAGTTGTAGAAAAAGATTATATTGTTGATCCACTACTTGAATATCCTACCATGACTGAAATGAAATTTCACAGACAAAAAAAATGAAGAAAGCAAAAGCTAAATCATGTTTGTTTGCTGGTGTTTCACAAATGATCCTCACCAGAATCATGACGTTAAAGTCACCCAAAGAAATTTGGGATTATTTGAAAGATCAATATGAAGGGGATGAGAAAACTCGATGTATGAAAGTTTTAAACTTGATAAGGGAATTTGAGATACAAAAGATGTAAGAGTCTCAAATAATTAATGAATACTCAAACAAATTGTTGAGTATTGCTAACAAAATAAAATTGTTAGGTAAAGAATTATCTGATTCTAGAATAGTTGAGAAAATTTTAGTACCTGTGCCAAAGAGATATGAAGCATCTATTGTTTCACTGAAAAACACAAAATATTTGTCTAAAACTACTTTGACAGAAGTGCTACATGTTTTACAAGCGCAAGAGCAATGAAGATTGATGAGAGGAGTTCATGTTGCTGGTGAAGGTTCTTTAATATATCATGATGGAGATTCTCTCCAAGCCAAGAACAACAAAGGTACAAAATCACGAGTCTTTTTTGTTTGTCCTTATTGCAAGAAAAATAATCACACACCCAATAAGTGTTTGTGGAGACATGATGTGAGATGTCGAAAATGTGGTCAATTGGGACATATAGAAAAGATATTTAAATCACAATCAGAAGAAGTCGTCAAGGTTATAGAGAATATAGAGGATGGAGTAGAAGGGAAACTTCTCCTTGCATCAACATGCTCTACAATCAACAAATCCTCATGTTGGCTTATAGACAGTGGTTGTACAAACAACATGACTCATGATCAAGAACTTTTCAAAGAGCTCAATGAATCATATATTTCTAAAATGAGAATTAATAATGGAGAACAAATGGATATGAAAGGTACGAGAACAATTGTAATTAAAAGTCATTCGAGTATCAAATTAATTTTTGATGTTTTATATATTCCTGATATTAATCATAATTTGTTAAGGGTTGCTCAATTATTGGAGAAAAGTTATAAGGTGTCTGTTGAACACAAACTTTGTGTGATTAAAGATACAAATAACTTGGAAATATTCAAAGTTCACATGAAAGGAAAAAATTTCACTTTAGATTTGATGAAAGAAGAGTTGATTACAAACGAAGATATAAAAGAAAAGTCAAAGAAAAAGCATAAAGAATATTTCTTGAAAAAACTTAATGTTAAGGAGGAAAATAAAGATGTAGATGAAGAAACCGTTTTAAACGTTCATTAAAAAGTCAACGGTAGTACCATAAAGAAGTTTAAAAGAAATAAAGAAGATGAAGCTCGATAAAGGAAGAAATACTTTGATGAAGAAAATGAAGTTGAACAAAAATGTGATCCACAAAAAAGGAAGATGACAAGAAGTACAAACAAAAAAAGAAAAAAATTATAAATAAAATAAAAGAAAGAATATTAAATTCAATTAAACAGATATTAGAGTAAGAAAAAATGTTAGAAATATTACTTTATTATCTTTTATTTAAATTAAGTATTAAGAGATTTTATTATCTTTTAAAAAAAGATAAAAAGGTATTAAATTATTATTTTGATTTAGGCAATGTCAGAAGTACATATAACAAAACTCTAGAAATTCTGCAGAGTTTTAACAATTAGTCTTGTATGCATGTTTCATGAATTGAGAGAAGGTGGAGTCTTTAGGCATCTAAAACTATTTGTACAAGTAAAGAAACTAACTGGACAGGTTACATATCTTGTGGAGCGTGGTAGGTTCTCTAAAGGAATTTTGGCCTGTGCACAGGAATCTAGAGGATATGCATTGTTGACAACAGAATTAGCAGGTTCAATGTTTCAGATAAATATTAGAAAGATATGGGACTGGTTGATGAATGATGGTGTGTTGATGATTGGCGTGTATGGCATGGGAGGAGTGGGGAAAACAAGTGTGCTAATACACATACATAATATGCTTTTAACAGCAGTCACCAACTTTGATAGTGTGTTTTGGGTGACTATCTCACAGTCATATAGCATTCACAAATTGCAGTGTGATGGGGCCAAAATAGTTGGGATAGATATTTCAGAAGAAAGTGATGAAAGGAAAAGAGCTGCAAGATTATCATGGGCCTTCAAGAGAAGGAAGAGATGTATCCTTTTTCTAGATGATGTGTGGAATCATTTTCCTCTGGAGAGGGTGGGAATTCCTGTGAGAACAGATGGGCTAAAATTGGTTTTGACAAGTCGTTCGTTAGACGTGTGTCGAAGGATGAATTGTCAAAACAGTGTCAAAGTGGAGCCTCTTTCTATGGAAGAAGCATGGACCTTATTTGTAGACAACCTTGGACAACAGACTTCGCTTTCTCCAGAAGTAAAAAAGGTTGCTAGATCTGTTGCAAAACAATGTGCTGGTTTACCCCTAGCAATTATTACAATGGCCAGGAGCATGAGGGGAGTGGAAGAATTTTGTGAGTGGCGGCACGCGCTGGAAAAACTAAGAAACACTGAAGAAAGGTTGGAGGAAATGGACATGGCGGTGCTCCGTGTGTTGAGATTTAGCTATGATCACTTGGATAATGAAATGATACAGCAGTGCTTCCTATGCTGTGCATTATATCCTGAAGATTTTGAAATAGACAGGGATATTTTGATAGAAAGTTTTGTTGATGAGGGACTGGTGAATGGAATGAAAAGTTTGGAGGCTATGTTTGATGAAGGACACACCATACTGAATAAGCTTGAGAATAATTGTCTTTTGGGGAAAGTGGAAAATTATGTTGGTCAGGATGCCAGCAGTCATATAGTTATCAGCATGATGAAAAGGGGAAGCCAACAAGTGGAAGGCTATTATGTCGGAAGTCAATTGGTGATAATGCATGATCTGGTGAGGGCCATGGCTATTGATGTTATAAAGGTGAACTACCATTTCCTGGTGAAGGCTGGGTTGCAATTGACTGAGATTCCAGACGAAGTAGAATGGACTGAGGACCTAGAGAAGGTTTCCTTGATGTGTAATTGGATAAATGAAATTCCAACCGACATATCACCTAGGTGTCCTAAACTTAGAATCTTGATTTTGAAGCATAATGAATCCTTGACTAGGATCTGTGATTCTTTTTTTGTTCACATGTCTGCTCTCGAAGTTCTTGATTTGTCTTTCACAGACATTGAGGTTTTGCCAAAATCTGTGTCTGCACTGAGTACCCTCACTGCTTTGTTGCTAACATCTTGTAAGCGATTGAAGCACATGCCTTCACTAGCAAAGCTTCAGGCCTTACTACGCTTGGACCTATCTTTTACTGCAATCACCGAAATACCTGAAGGTTTGGAAGTGTTGGTCAACCTTAAATGGCTTAATCTTTATGCGAAAAGTTTGGTGTCATCAGGAAAAGAAATAGCGAATTTGACTCAACTCCAATTTCTTATTCTCCATTGGTGGTCAAGAAATATAAAAGTGAAAGTAGAGCATATATCATGCCTGAGAAAGTTGGAAACTTTTGCTGCTAACTTGTGCAACATGCATCATTTTAATGCCTATGTGAAAATAATGCATAAATATGGGCCCAGAAGTTACCTTCTTCAGTTAGACACTGAAGAGTCTCTAGGTAAATCTCCACGGTGCTTTTTTGCTGAAGTTTGTTTCAGCAAGGATGTGATCATTTCAAATAGCAAAATCAGAACAGGAGAAACACCCCTAATGCTCCCTTTCTACATTCAACGCTTGAAGGTTGAAACATGTCATGACATACGGAGCCTATGTGATGTTATGTCATTAAACAATACCACCTCTTTAAAGCGCTGTGAGATTGCAGATTGTGATGGACAAGAGTACTTGTTTTCTTTATCTTGCTTTTCCTCATGCTGCACCTCTCGTCGCAGCTTAGAATCATTGGAACTCAATAGCCTGAAAAACTTACACAGTTTGTGCAAGGAAATTGAAGCCGTGACTCAAACCTTTCCATCAGGAGGAGCTTTTAGTTGTCTCAAGTACTTTTGCATCTATCATTGTCCAAATATCAAGAAGCTTCTGACTCCTGGATTGCTAGCTTATCTACAGAACTTAGAAGAGATAACTGTTCATAATTGCAAGTCAATGCAGGAAATAATTTCCGTAGATGGCATAGATTATGAAAGCTACGGGGGTAAAAATTCTTGTGTGGGTAATAGAGACGCTATTATAGTTTCACATTCAAAGTTAGTGTCATTATCATTGAAGCACCTACCAGAACTCAGGAGCATATGTAGAGGACAAATGGTGTGCGAGTCTCTACAAAACTTTAGGATCTTTAAATGTCCAAAACTGACGAGGCTCCCAGAAACTGCAACCTCGGTTCAGATTTTGTACGATTCTTTCTAGCTCTGATCATACTCTAGGCTGACTATTAGAGAGTTTGTTGGGGTTGGGGTTGGGTTGGGTTGGGTAACTGAAATGAAATATAATTTAAAATTTGTTGATTGATATGTAAATATTGGAAATATGATGACTGTCTATGATCAATTGATTGCTGTAGCTAATTTCTCAAATCCTTACAGAAGACTGTTACGACAATTTTGGAGTGGAATGATTATCCAGATTCATGTCCTAGGTTAGAAGGTTACCATTTCATCTCGAGTTTCATGTTTTTATCCCATTGCTTAATTTGGCATCATTAGCCTTGTCTCTGCAAATAATGTGAAACTCAATTTTTTTCTTTCATCGACAAGTCTTTACCTTAGGGAATAACACTTTTCTAAATTTTGCTCACTCCATCCAAACCATCCTCATTGCAAATATGGTCTATATGATTCAAAATAAGGTCAGTCAGACACTCTGACCTGATCAGATTTTCTTAATTATCGCCATCCATGATTTATTTTAAGCCGAAGGCAGTAGTTTGACCAAAATTACATGAAAAATTGTTGGACTATTTTGTTCCTTTACTTGTTTCTTTCTTGATATACTTTGTTCCTTTACTTGCTTCTTTCTTTATTTATAAAACGGTTCTTCTGTAGTGTGAATGTAAAGCCAGATCCTGCAAAGAGAGTGACTTACTTGCATAATGCAGATAATATGACCTTTTAGATCAAGCCACAAGCCACAACCGACATTCTATGGATTTGCCCTCAATAAAATATTCTCACGGATCCATATACCCACATAATAAATAATCGAATCAAACAGATAAAAACTGAAAATTAGACCTCAATTTCCTTTTCATAGGATCATATATTTACCATTTCATAGACAAAATTTTGTAGGGATCAAAGAGATGCATAACATAAGGTAATAAGGTGACGTCACAAGCCTACAAAGCAGTATAGTATAGAACTTGAAGCCCACAAAGCAGTCTATAATGATGAATGGGATCTCAAAGGGTGACATTCACTTTGCACTCTAAAACCTTATAGTATTGGGACCCCAACAACCCAAGTCCATGACTTTCCTCATGGACTCCTCCTTGGTCCTCTTGACCTTGTTGGACACAGCAGCAGAAGTGGCAGAGGACAAGTTCTTGGCCTGAGAGTATGATCTGATGTTATTCTTGGCATGCTGCTGGAGTGATCTCAAAACATAGTTCCACCTGCACACCCCCAGTTGATCCTTCAAGGCCTCCACTGCTCCTATGCTGGAGGCCACAATCCAAGCTCGAGTAGCTGCATTCATGTTAACTGATGTGGCTTTTGATGAAATATTGGTATGTGTTGTTTTGATACATGGAAGGAGTGGTTTGTTTATTCCTATATATAGCTGGGTGATTGAGTGATTTTCAAGGTGGTTAATGCAAAACCAGAGGCTGATTTGGGGTGGAAGGGAATGAAGAAAAGCAAAACCAGGGGCGATGTACCCACTGTTTGGAGCACAAATCTAGCAGTTTAAAGAATCCACACGGTGCCTTGTCTCATACAAGATTCCTGGTACTGCGGTTTGTTGATTTAATATTAAATGCTTCTTTATGAGTTACACATTACACAACGTGCAAAAAAGAATGCCTGGTTCTCCGTTTTCTTCGATTCTTTCCAAGATAATTGACCACATAACCTCACAAAAGAAAAATATCTGCCAATCAATTAAATTTAAATAATAAGTTTGCAATTAAGTTTCACATTTTATGAATTATTTCCAACTGCTTGACTACACTTTTATTAAAAGTCTGCAATAATTTAGTATTGATGATCTTCGAACTTACGCTATAATCCTTTACAGCTGTTTCTTCATTAATTTAGACAACAAAATATGTTGACAGTGTAATTTTTTATTTTTACATCTGTACTAAACTCTGTAATTTAAATAAAAACTCAGATAATCTGGGGAGAATAATTTGTAGTTGTGTATTATCCGTCAATTTTTTAGATTCTGAAAAACTACAAAAAAAAAATGGTACAATAATATCTGCAAGAAAGAATAATTAATTCAGTAACACATTACACAATTAAAAAAATTTCACTAATTATCACTATACATATGTTTTAAGAATCCATATACTTTTATAGTTGTATATTTTAAAATGAAAATAGCAATTTACTCAACAATTCACTTCACAATCTAAAGAAAGAGCATGTCATAAATAAAGAATCGTTGAATATAACTTTTTAGTTTCTATAATATAGAACTTTTATCATTTTGTTTTTCTTTTTTGAAAAGATAATTCTATAGAAAAAAAAACATGTCATAAATAAAATAGTCATTTAAATAAGGTTTTAGTTTTCACAATATAGAATTTTTATCATCATTTTGTGTTTTATTTTAAAAATTAAAATTTTCATTTACATATCTAAAATTATTATTTCATTTTTCATAAAATTATAAAAAAATTGGCATATCTTAGCATTCAACTTACTAATTAATCACTGCATTTTTGGAGTTGAGGGGTGGTGACCTCTCAAAATTGTATAACTCAGCTATGTAATTTATGATTTTGGTCCCTCCAAACTTAATGAACATTTAATATATTTATTTGTATATTTATAATTTTATCCTCTCGAGTCCTATTTTTTAACTCTCATCTAATTTATAATTGTGTTTCCCTCAAACTTAATGATCATTTAATATATTTAAATATATATCTACAATTTTATCATTTCACCCTTTCATCTTCTTTCTTCCTTTTATATTTATTTATTATTTATTAATAATATATATTAGACCCCTAAAATGAATGGTCAAGATCCCGTTACCGTATATATATATATATAAATATATATATATATATATATATATATATATATATAATTTAATATGTATTTTTTTAAAATGAAATGTAATTGTATTTTAATTAAATTTATACATTATATTTATTTCGAATTAGTCTTCTTTAGGGACTAAAAATAAAAAATATATGTATTACAAGATTAAAACAAAAAAGTTAGATACTTTACAAGCATTAGAATAAAACAAGAAGGCAGATTAAAAAAAAAAAGTTAAACCATTTTTTAAATAAAATTTAAATTAACATTTAGAAGGATTAGACTATAAACTTAAATCCTCTTTATTTTATAGATATGAGTGGCTCTTGAATATACTGTATGCAAAATTATTAACAAAACACGCCTTTATGAGACAGTAAAAGGGTAGATGAAGAGAAGAAATACTTGGTTAATCTCAAGTGTGATGTATATGACGAATTCCACAATTTAATACCAAACCAGAATCTTCTAGTCATAGGGGTAGTAGAAAATACACCTAAATTTTTGTTCATATAGTTATATTAGAGCTATAATTGGAAGAATTAGATACAAAACTTATGGAGATGGATGAGCTACAAGTAGTTTGAATGGAAGATCTAGAATCTGGTAGTAGTGGGACCCCAGCAATTGAATTCCATGACTTTGTTCATGGACTCTTCTTTGGTTCTGTTGACCTTGTTGGAAACTGAAGAAGAAGAAGATGACGATGATGATGCAGAGGAAAATTTGGTAGCTTGACTAAAGGATCTGATGTTGTTGTTGGCATGTTGTTGCAGTGACCTCAAAGCATAGTTCCACCTGCAAACGCCTAGTTGGTCTTTCAAGGCTTCCACTGCCCCAATGCTTGATGCCACCACCCACCCTTTGGTTGATGCACTCATGCTGATCGATTATTTGTTTCTATGACACAAGAGAATTTGGTTTGGTTGAACCTTGTTTGGTAAGAGAATGATCCTTAAATACGAGGGGCACTCAGAGAAACCTTCGGCACCAAAACTAGGTGCGCTCCACGTGTTTTGCACAGAGTGTTGAAAAACGTGTATGTGAATAAAAATATCTGGATACCAAAATTTGTCCTACGCTATATTATCAACCATTTGTTTCACCATTAATAATTTCATGGGTTTAATAAAGAAGTATGAAAAAATAAAAGAAAAATATAAAATATTTTATTATTCAAAATGTATTAATGATTTTTTAAAATGTTTATTAAAGATATTAAATGAAGGATTAAAATTATAAATATATAAATAAATATATCTAATAATTATAAATTGGAGTGAAAATAATAAATACATAAATAAGTTATAATATTTTGGCAACATGAGATGTCACTGAATAAGTCTGTTATGGTTATTAATATATTTAATGTAGTATTTACTTTATCTCCATAATATGAAAATTTATATAATAATTTTCTTAACATAATTGAGCTTCTTATTAATAAGAAAAAGTTTCTATTATTGCATAAAAATTAATTGGAATCATCATCACAAGTAGTCTTAAATTATACAATACTTATATATATATATATATATATATATATATATATATATATTGTTAATAAATAAAATTTATATAAAATAGTATTTTTTTTATTTTAAAACAGTTTTTGTAAACCACTCTCAGATGCATTGAATGCAACCAACAAGAATCTCAAAATCCATTTGTAACTGTTTTGCTTGTATTTGTGTTGTATTGTGCAGAAAACCTTTGACAGTTTCAGAAATGGAGGAAATGAGAAACAGAGACAAAGAAAAGGACAAACCAGCCATTAGAAAACTAAAAGTTTTTAGCTTTTCTTAGCAATCATTCATTCACTTTGAGTAGGTTATATAGTATATAAAATTTAACCAAAATATAATAACTTTTATAAACCTTTCATATTATGGCGAATTTCTTTTTTATTATTTTAAAAATATTTTTTTATTTTAAAAATTAAAATTATTTTTTTAATTTAAAAAGTTCAAAAATAAAACTGATAAAAATGTTTTTATTTTTTAGTTTTTATTTTATTTTTAAAAATAATATTTATGTTTTGGCTAATAATTATATTATATTATTTATCTATAATATTTATCTCAATTTATAGTCACTAATTTTTAAATTAGAATAATAAAAAATATTTTAAAATTTTTGAGATAATTTTTAAAATTGTCTCTAAAATTATTTTAAAATATTAAAGATTAAAACTAAAATTCATTTACTCATTGTTTATGACAATTTTTTTTGTTAAGAAAATAAAAACAAATCAAAGCCTTAAATAGAAAAGTTAGTTGTTATTTTTTATAATAAAAATGTTTTTTCTCCTTCATCAATTAATAATTGTGATTTCTAATCATATTATTAAAAAAAAAATCAACCCATGTTTGAAAAGGTTGACAAAAACAGAGTGGAGTGTTAATTTTATTTTATTTTTACTAAAAAGGACATTATTTTTTGAAATTTATCAAAATAAATAAATCACTTTGAATAAGTTATCCTGGAAAGCAAAAATTTGTTTTTTATTAAATTAAAAAAAACTATAATGAATAATACAATTTTTATATAAATATAATATAAACTTCATATTACGGTTTTTAACTTTTTTCTTGATATTATTGTAATTAAGGTAAAAATAAATTTTATATTATTAATAAAAATAAAATAATTAAATTTATATTATAACAATTTGGTTACTATATTTTAATAATAATTATTATTATAATTATTATTAATAATATTATCATTATAACTAATAATAATAATTTAATAAATTAATTTTTTAATTATAATTAATAGTAAAATAAATAATGATAAATATGTTTATATTATTAATATAATTAAAAATAATTATTTATAAGTAATAAAATTAATATATAATGATTAATGTTATTAATAATATCAAATTATAATTATTTTATTATTATTTATTATAATTGTATAATAAATGTTATTATAATATAAGAAATTGTAATATAAAGTTCTATATTATGTTTATATAGCATTTGTAATTTAGTATATTTTTTAAATTACAAAATAAAATCAAAATTATATTTAACAGCACTAATGGTTTAAATCTATAATTTTTCTTTTAATTTACTTATTTTAATAAATTTTTAAAAAATTATTTTGTATGCGTGTATGATGAAAACACAATCCATCTACCAAGAGGGTAAAAAACCATTAGTAACGGAAAATGTTTATATAATGAATGACAAATAATAACTGTTTTTATATAATTAAAATTTATATTAAATTAACATTTTTAATATAAATTATATTATAATTAATAAAATCATATGAAATAAAAATATATTTAAATACAAACATTATATTTAATGTAAAAAAAAACAATTAATATTATGAAATACTACTTTTAATTATTCGTAACTTAATTTTAAAGAAAAAAATGAATATAATTTATGATAATGAAAATAAAAGAAAGTAAGTTAATAAAGTTAGATAATTAAAATATATATATATATATATATATATATATATATATATATATATATATATATATATTTAGTAATATAAAAGAGAAGATGATTTTAAATAACTGTTTGAGAATTTTTTATTGTAAATTGAAAAAATTTTAGATGTCTAAAAAGGGAATATTATTATAAATGTTTAACTGAAAATAATGTAAGTATAAAATAATATTTATATTTTGAATTAATAATTATATTAATAGAAAGTAGAAGCTGGTACCTCATAATAGTAAATGTGGATATGTGATATTATTTTATTAATAATAAAAGTCAAATTGTACATTTGCTTCATTCTTTAATATGTGTATGATTATGAGTTTTGGAATGAAGGGTGAGGTTTCCTTCATTCATCCCACGGAATTGGATCTAACTGCCGCCGAAACAAAAACAGCAAATGAAAGCATGTTGTTTTCGTAAACCACTCAAACTTGATTCTTGAAAACACAAATGATATTTGACAACCTGAAAAAAAAAAACAATAAAAAATCTTTTGATCAAAGAGGTTAAATTTTTAATAAAAAATATTATATTATCAATATATAATCACTCTTTTGAAAATTATTATTTAAAATTAGCAAAAGACAAAGAGGTTAAAAGCTTTATGTATGGCTATTTTTTCTAATTCTTTTTTCTTAAAACATTTTAGATTTTATTTTGTTATCTCTATTTATTTTTAAATACATTTATTTATTTTTATTAATTATGTATTGTATTTTTATTATTTTTAAATATATAAATTATAATAATTATTTTTTAAAAATATAATATTTTTTAATGAAGAAAAATGATTAAAAAATTATATTTATATATAATCTATATTAAATTTTATATTTTAAATATGTTTATTAAATCATTTTTTAAATATTTATAATATATTTTTATATATTATTTAATGATGACCATCTATAAGTATTATTTTGTTAGGGAGTTATGTGGTAGGTTGGTGCTTATGAGACACTCTTTTTCAATAATTAGGTCTCAAAACTTAACTATACTTTTAATTATTTATTTAATAAATTAAAGAAAATTTTCTTTTTTGTAATATTTTATATGTTATTGATATATATATATACCAATAACATTAACACAATTTCTCATTATTCCTGCATGTAGAGAGGCCCAGAATATGTTCCGCTTAATCTTTTGGTCCATTTATTACAAGCCCAAAATGTTATGACCTGGATTACTTCATGGTACTTTACCTTAATTGATCAAGTCCCAACAATATTGTTTTCAATCATCAATCATATTGCGTGTATAACAATCATTATAAATTTTTAAATTAATAAATTAGAAAAATTCTATTTATTTAAATCGATATTTCTCACAATATTATTAAAATAATTTAATGATAACTTACTATTTATAATAATTTATTTATTTACGGAAAATAAAATTATTTTTAGCTGAAATTAAGACATATAAAAAATATAATTAATGAATCAACGATATAAAATTAAACAATGATAAGCAATTTTTTGTTTTTAGTATAAAAACATGTATCAAAACCATATTAAGGATATTATGGGTATTTAACCAACTTTTAATAAATCTCAAAATTTAATGGATTGAGTAAGATGATGACACCATCATAAATCGGAGCCTATAAACTAATGAACTAAAGAAAACTCCAAAGAGAAAAATAATAAAATCTCATGAAGAATGTGAATATGGCTACAACTTATATGGGAAACTATACGAGGAAACCAATAAATAATTGAAAAACATATAATTCATTCTATAATTTTTATTCACATTATTTTTGTACATAGATATTAGGATCTTATAGTATTTTACTCCAACAAATCAGGATTAAATATAGGAAGTTTTCATTATACAATATTTTGTATCATTATACAAACCTATAATTTAGCTAATCAAATATCTTTATCTCAACACTCCCCATCAAGTTGGTAAATGGATGTCATACATTCTCAACTTGTCCAATAATCTCCTAAAAATATGACTTGTCTCAACTTTGGTAAGAATGTCTGTCAGCTGATCTTCAGATTGAATATTTGACAATTCCATAATATTTTTATCAAGCTTTTCCTTGATGAAAATCTATCAACCTCCACATGCTTCATCCAATCATGTTGGATAGGGTTGTGAGCAATGTCGTGCGCAACTTTATTATCACAATAAACTGAATGGGACGTGTATGTGTATACCCTAAATCCTGGAGAAGTAGTCTGAGTCGTAAACCTTCACAAAGTCCAAGAACCTCTAAGTTCAGCTTCTGCATTGGATCTAGCTACAACTTTCTGCTTCTTGATTTTGCATGTGACAAGATTACCTCCTACAAATGTAAAGTATCCGGAGGTTGATATTCTATCATCAAGAGCACCTGCCCAATCTGCATCAGTATAAATCATCACATCCTTGTAGTTGGAGTTCTTCTTGAACATAACTCATTTTTCAGGAGCAACTTTTATGTACCTTAAAATCCGCATAACAACATCCATGTGTTTTTCACTTGGATTGTGCATGAACTGACTAACCACACTAAGAGCATAAGCTAAATCTGTCATGGTGTGTGAGAGATACATCAATCTCCCTACAAGTCTATGATATCTTCCCTTGTTAGTTGGAGTTTGATCTTCTTCAATGCACAACTTCAATCCCTCTTCAATTGGAGAATTTGCCGGTTTGCATGTTGTCATTTCAGTTTCTTTTAGTAAATCCAATGCATAATTTCGTTGTGAGAGAAAAATACTTGACTTTGATCTTGAGACCTCAATTCCAAGAAAATATTTCAAAGGACCAAGATCCTTCATCTCGAATTCATTTGTCAAGTACTCTTTCAATGTATTGCATTCCTTTAAATTGTTTCCCGTAACTATCATGTCATCAACATAGACAATAAGAATTATAATATTTCCTTCCTTTTTCTTTAGAAACAAGGTATGATCTTGGTTGCTTTGTTGATATCCAAAAGCAAGCATTGACTTGGTAAATCTACCAAACCATGCTTGTGGCGATTGTTTTAGTCCATACAATGACTTCTTTAACTTGTATACCTTCTTGCTATGTGTATTTGGGATCACACATCCTTCTGGTAGCTCCATATAAACTTCTTTAGACAAATCCCCGTGTATGCTCAAAATCTTCCTCATTATGTGGTTGTTGATCATAACATTGTTGCATATTTTCATCATCTCCTCATATAACTTTGTAACTTTCTTTCTCCAATCTGACCTCAATATCAATTTCTTGAGGAACAAAAGTCTGAACTTCATCATAATTCTCCCCCTGAATTTCAGACCCGGGGAAAAAATATATCAAGGTTTCATGAAAAACTACATCTATAGTAGTAAACATGTGCTTGGTTTATGGATTGTAGCACTGATATCCTTTCTAGTGTTTCGCATAGCCAAGGAACACACACCTTTCAGCTCTAGGAGACAACTTACTTCTCTGATGCTTGTGTAAGTGAACATAAGCAACACAACCAAAAACTCTATGTATTAATTCAGCAATTCTAGGACTTACTACTGCATCTGTAAGTGATTGAAGAGGTGTTTTATACTCAAAAGACCTGGACGGTGTTCAGTTGATAGTGTATACTGCATATGTGAGAGCTTCTCCCCGATATATTGTTGGCATGTGAGCATCAATCAGTGCAGCTCAGACTACCTCCAATAGATGACGGTTCTTTCGTTCTGCCACCCCATTTTGTTGTGGAGTATTTGGACAATATCTCTGATGAACAATTTCTTTGACTACTAAAAAATGTTGAAGTTCTGATTACATATATTCTTCTCCGTTGTCACTGCATAATACCTGAACTTGTGCTTTGTACTGGGTCTTTAATCATTTTGCAGAATTTATGAAATAGTCCTCCAACTTTACTTTTAGACTTCATCAAACATAACCAAGTCATTCGAGTACAATCATCAATAAACGTTACAAACCACGTTGAGTCACCCAACGTTGCAACCTTAGATAGACCCCATAATCAGAGTGAATGATCATAAAAGGAAGAGAACTTTTATTTGAAATTAAAGGAAAATATGTTCTATGACTCTTTGCAAGCTCACAAACATCACAATAAAAAGTTGAAGTGTCTACTTGGTCAAATACATTTGGAAATAATTTCTTTATGTACCAAAAGATGCATGTCCTAGACGTTTATGCCATAACCAAATATCCTCACATTTTCTTACTTCTTGAGACCCTTTTGTTGCTAGCACTTGACCAAGTCTCTTTGAATCTTTTTCCGTTAGGTCCAGGTAATACAACCTTCCTTGCCTAATACCACAACCAATCTCGTCTTCCTCGTTTGAATGTCCTTAAAAACACAAGAGTCAGACCCAAAAATTACAATATATAAAAGAGTTTTGGTTATTTGCGAGACTGACAATAGGTTATATTTTAGAGAATGAACAACAATGACAGTATCAATATTCAAATTGTTTGAAATAGAGACAGTTCTTTCTCCAATAATAGTGGATTTACTACCATTGGCTGTGGATATACTTTTTTGTGAGGAAGGTTTAAGATTTTTAATTTGTCTAACATCAAAAGTCACATGATCAGAACATGTAGAGTCAATTATCCATGCATTATTCAGAACGGTAGATGTGCTTATTAAAGCCTTACCATTGGAATCATCACTACCTGCAATTATAGCAAGTATCATGTCTTTGTTGTCCTCTTTATCAATGGCAGTTACAGCAACAATTGGATTTCTTCTTGAATTCTTCTTCAATGTTCGACTGTGATCCCACCACTCGAGGTATCCTATGATTTCACTGAGTACACTTGTAGCATCGTTCCTTGGTGTGTCCACCCTTATTACACTGAGTACACTTATAGTTACCTTTTTCAAAATCTTTTGATTGCTTCGATTTGTTGTGATGATTTGCTGGCTGCTTCTTTGTCATCATAGCTATGGAATCAGAAATCATATCTTCTATTTTCAACGTTGTTCGCCAGACTGTCTCTCTCCGGATCAATGCATAACATTCTTCTAAATTAGGTGTCACTTCCTTGCGTAAGATTTCTCCACGAACTTGCTCAAAATCATCATCCAGTCCAACAAGGAATATATGCACCCTTAATTTTCAATGGATTTCTAATATGACTTCACATCATCAGGGTCCTTCATGACTACTTTGTCACGATGGTCCAATTCCCTCAAAATTTCAACCAACTCCCCATAATATTCAATTAAGGTTCTATTATTTTGTTTTGCAGTGAATGTCCTTTGATTCAGGGCAAACACTTGTAGCTCATCACTTCCATCATAAAATATTTTTGACAAAACATTCAAAATATCAAGGACAGTGGGTAAGCGAAGATACATTTTCATGATTTTTTGCTTCATGGACATCAATAGTCATCTTTTCACTTTTTGGTTTTCATCATACCATTTTCCATATCCTTCATCGTTCACTGTTGGAGGCTTCACTTTCTCACGTATGTAGGATAATTTTTCCCTCTCTACAATGTGCATCTCCATTAGTTGTGACCATACATCATAATTGGATTAATTTAGGATGATGCCTACGTTAAAGACACCTTCAGATTGAACAACTATTGGAATTAATTTTTCTGTCATCTCTCCAGTTAAGATCTCTAAGGATTTAGAAAGAAAAAGAAAAAAAATTATAAGCTTTGATACCAAATTGAAAAACATAGAATTCATTCTATAATTTTTATTCATATTATTTTTGTACACAGATACTATGCTCGTATAGTATTTTACTCAAACAATCAGGACTAAATATAGAAAGTTATGATTATATAATATTTTGTACCGTTATACAAACCTATAATTTAGCTAATCAAATATATTTATCCCAACATAAATTAAATATTTTTAATTATTTTTTAAAATCAAATGACGTAAAAACATTATTTCTAAAAAAATGGTGGTAGTCAAGAAATAACCACCCTCTTCCCTGCTTAGGCTAAGTTTTCTTTAATCATGAAAAAACCTTTTCTTTTTTCTATAAACTATCATTTACTTAAATTGGCAAAATGGGGTTAAGACAAAAATAAGACGTGTATATTTGGGGAAAGATGAGGTTGTTGTGATACACGAGATGGAGACACAAAATTTTGATGTCTTTTTATTTTTTTATTTTTTTTTATATGTATATAGATGAACATAAAGTATTGGTAGGTGACAACTGAGATAGCATACGGCATTGAATTTGATTCCAATTTTATTAAAAATTAATGTATGTTTGGTGTCCACAAAAGTATGTTTATTTAATCACACTCCATAGTAATTCTTATACCCATTTGTTTTTTCTTATCAATACACACCTATCCAAGATTTGAGTGATCAACAAATACACAAGTCACTACATTTTATTATAATTATTTTGTTTTGTTTACAAAAGTTATTTTTATATAATTAATTTTTCCAATTTCAATATTTCCAATAAGATTAAAAAAATGTATTTCTTAATTTCTATAAAACAAACTTAAACACACTTAAAAAGAAATGGAAATAATAATAATAATAATAATAATAATAATAATAATAATAATAATAATTACATACTGATAATCAGAAAATAATTTATCTGTAATACATGTAAAACGTTGTGACAGATATTAGAACAAAAGAACACAATCATAAAAATATATAATCATTGTTTAATTTACAACAATGAAATATTATTTATTACATATTTTACGAAATTATATATAATTTTATTAATTATTATTGGTAGTGAACGTATCTATGTGTATGCGTGGATGAGACTCTCTTTCACCTAAACACACTATGACTCACCAACACCTTCATACGTGTTTCATTTTCTGTTTACAAACTCTTTGTATTTTAATCTGACTAGTTGCTTTCGTTATGCTTCCACGCTTCTTCTGCATGTTGAAGGTTTCAACTTAATGTTCCCAATTCTGATAGTTTAAAGCAGAAGCCACAAGAAATTTCTGGAGTTCATGTTACCAACTGTGCTTCGTGTTTACTCATTGAAAGATTCAGTGATGTAATGGTGTTTCGTGGATATGTTTATTAATTCTTCAATACATAGAATAACAATCTGGTGCAAAGGAGCTAGACACAGATATTAAAGTAATGTTTATATATTATACATATCAATATTGCGTAGCAAACAGTTGGTGTATGTGTGTGTGTGATATACAACACTTATAAAGCGATATGAATACTAGTTATACCCTAAGTTTCAATCATCCATTTTCAAATATTTATTAGAAATTTTCTAAAACAATCTCACTATTATAGTGATGAATCCGCAATCATTCGCATGTTGGCAAATTTTGGGTCATGTATATATATGATACATATTTAAATGTGTTAGGGTCATTATTTATTAAGCCAAATAATAAATTGATCTGAATAAATTAAAGTTTTGGCTAAAGGCATATGTCATGAAAATATGATTGTGTAGAGACCATAGAGTAATTTTTAATTTGATGAGGGGCCAAATTGAAAATACTAAAACTTAAGTAATTAACCTAATTTTGGTTATATAAAGGGTCATGGTCTCCTTCTGAGAGCACACAGACAGAACACAGTTACAGTCCCGTTCTTTTCTTTCTATCCCCATCAAGAGAGAAAATCAAGAGGGAAATACAGGTGCTCTTCAGGTGGAAGACCATAAGATCAACTCAAAAGTGCTCTACAAAGGATATCGTCATTATGACCAATTCAGGTACGTTTTCGCATTTAGTTTATAACATGTTTACAGTATGGGATTATTGATATATGTTTGATCATTAGAATGAAGATCATATTCAATTAAAGTTTAACCTAACAATTGGTATCAGAGCAACCCATACTTGATTCATGTTTGCATTTGGAAATTAGATTTAACAAAATTGAGATTTAAGAATTCACGTAGAGAATAATCTCCAAATTTTACGAACCCTAAATTTAAATTTGGGATAAAATCCCCAATTTTAAAACCTAGTTTCGAATTTGAGGGTGAAAACCCCAAACTGCTTCTGCTCCTTCGTCTTCATTGGCTAATTAAGTCGCGGAGTTGCTCGCGACGGAAAGGGGAAGCGTTGGAGAGGTTCTCCAGCAATGGCGTGCTGACGGTGATGGTCATCGAGAGCAATGACGCATCTGCACATTGGTCGTCGGCGATGGCACGGTGGTTCATGTTCCTGGTCCGCTGCGTCGTGGTTGCAAGCGGTGACGGTGTTATTATCCAACGACGGTGGCACACTCAGGAGGTTTCATACGGGGGTTTTGCAGCGACGATTGGGGTTGCTTCAGTGCACCTAGAAGCAGAAGGAGGAAAACAATTAGTGAGAAAAAGGGAGAGAAAGAGGGTTAATGTCGAGTTAGGGTTTCGAGTTGACTCACTAAACCTTTTGCATTTTGTGGCCGATTTTTTGTTTTCGCCGGAGAAAACTCTCAGTCCGGTCTCGCCTGCTTTTGTATCTGGTACGATAGCAGTTTGAAAGGTTCGGTTTTTCCGGCGAAGAGTATGGGATTTTTCGGTGATTATTTAGTCAATTGAGTTTTGGGGATTCTCGATTTTGACCTAATGCAAAGGTCTTTACACAAAATTTCCACTGGATTTCGTGTTCTCTTCCATTTTGAGATGTTTAGACCGAGTATAACTGTGTGTGTTTGTGTTAACGGTGTTAAGAGATAGGGTTCTTGTTGTGGAGTCGTTGGTGCCGCCGGGGCTTCGGAGTGTGTTGTTTGGGAGTGCTACGTTGGAGCGAGTTGGTTGAGTTTTGTGGAAGGGAGGGTGGTGGTGATGCTTGCTGAGGTGGCGTTTGGGGTACTTGTTCGGGTTTGTACTTGATCCTTGCAATGGTTTGATGCCGGATTCAAAAATGCGGTTGAGGGGCAATACTAAGAGGGTCTTAGACCTCATGAAGAAGCTCCGGGTGACGGAAGTTCGGTATCATAGGGACTTGTTTTTTGCTATTGTTGAGTCCAAGGCTTCTTTTGGGTTGTCGTATTTGAAGGAGTTTCCTTACAACATTGAGAATTTTAAGTCTTCTTCATGGATTCCTGCAATATCCGTGGCGGCTCAAGCTGGTTTCGTTGGTTGGTAATGGCATTTCTAAGGAATTTATCGATTCCCGATCCAAGGTTCCACGCCTGTTGGATAATATGGATTTGCACAGGTATTGTTAAATGCCTGTTTCCTCGTCCGTTCAACAGGCCATTGTTTAATAAGGGATTGCCGCACACTGAACCTTATGTGAAACATGCATATGATGGTATTAATGTCATGGGACCCGCTGCCTTAATTAACAAGCCATCATACGTGGTATGTGTGGACAAGAAGGTGAATATGATGGAGTTAATGTCGTGGGACCGCCTTAAATAACAAGTCATCATACGGCATTGTAGTACAATTTGATGTATTGCTCCCATAAATGAATCGTAGAAGGAAATTTGAAAGGGACTATTTGGCTAATTCAGATTAAGGGATTAATATTTTTAAAAGAAAATAATTACAGTGGTGGTCCGCGCCATTATAATTTTTTTTTTAAAATAAATAATCAAATTTTGGTTTTGTTATATAATATTCAATTTTTTTGGTAGTTTAATATTTTTTGTGAGCAAATTGAGTCAAGAAGTTACCAAAGTAACCTCTCTTGAATTGGGCAGTTCATGAAAAATATTGAATGTTAGTGTTTTGTGTATATTCATGCGAGTATTAGTCGGCCCAAAGGAAGATTAATATTTGACCGAATTACACACACACTTGTAATGATAAACATGTGATAATTATAAGGATTTGCTTTGTCAATGATAAATCAATCCAAAGACTGGTTTGTTGTTGGACGTGCTTTATTGTCAATGTTTGATTATTACAACAAGATACCTCTAGCAGTTAATATTATCTGTCCAAAGACTTCATATTGATGGTGCATTGGGTGTCTTGAGATGGGTTAAACCATTATTTGAATATATATATTTTATTTATAATTATTTATTTTATAATGTGAGCATAATTAGTTTATTTCTTTTGTTCTAATCCAGACTACAATTGCTTCAGTATCTGCAAATTTAAATTACTGTTCTGATCCTCAATGGAACAAATTTTAAGGACTGGAAAGAGAATATTGATATTATTCTTGGCTGCATGGATATGGATCTTGCGTTAAGGACTGAGCAACCCCCTACTCCTACGGATTCAAGTACCTCTGAACAGAAAAGAGATTATGAAAAGTGGGATCGCTCAAATCGCATGAGTCTAATGATCATTAAGTGCGGCATCCCGGAGGTGTTTAGGGGCACTTTTCTGAAAACATCACAAGTGCCAAAAAGTTCCTTGCTGAAATTGAGCAGCGCTTTGCAAAAAGTGATAAGGCGGAGACAAGCACTCTTCTTCAGAACTTGATCTCCATGAAATATCAGGGCAAAGGAAATATCAGGAAGTACATTATGAGCATGTCTAATATTGTTTTTAAACTCAATGCACTAAAGCTCGAACTCTCAGAAGACTTGCTCATTCATTTGGTGTTGATTTCTCTTCCCGCAACGTTTAATCAGTTTAAGGTATCTTACAACTGTCAGAAGGATAAATGGTCTCTTAATGAGCTCATTTCTCATTGCGTGCAAGAAGAAGAAAGGCTAAAACAAGACAAGACAGAAAGTGCTCATTTTGCAAGCACCTTTAAGACTAAAGGCAAAAGAAAGAGATCGGAGGATCCCAAGAAGGAAGCTACTAAAGATCCAGAACAAAAGAAACAAACTCAAGAAAATAAATGTTTCTTTTGCAATAAGACTGGACACGTAAAGAAGCAATGTGCTAAATATCATGCTTTGCGTGAAAAGAAAGGGTTGCCTAAAGCTACGGAAGCCAACTGATTCCGAAAGATAGATATACGTTGAAAAATGACAAATCGGTGGAGACGGAGACTATTGGACATTTTAGATTATTATTGTGTACTGATTTTTTATTTTAGATTTAAAAGACATTTTTGGTTGTGTCGTCTTTTAGACAGAATTTGGTTTCAGTTTCTTATTTGGACAAATTAGGTTATTTGTGTTCATTTGGAAACAATAAGTTCAGTTTGTCTTTTAATTCAAATATTATTAGAATTTGTTCACTTTTGACTCATGATAATCTATATTTACTTAATATTGTGGTCACCTATAATGAAACTCTTAATACGAGAATCTCGTGGTACTAAACTAAAATTAGACTCCGAACAGTAAGTAGTTACTTCATTGGCTATTCGAAAGAGCCAGGGGATATAAATTTTATGATCCCACATTAAAGACAATTTTTGAGATGGGAACTGTTATGTTCTTTGAGGATATTGAGTTTGGGGGGAAGAATAATATTAAAAATTTTGTATTGGAGGAAGAATCGACAATAAATCCAGAACCGATTCAAACAGTTACTTTTGATAAAGTAAGTTCAGAACCTCCACAAGACATTGATGATAAACCCCATATTCAAGATGATTTGATTGTTCGTCAAGACCAAACTCAAGATCCTCAAGAACCTGTGCGTCATGAGCCGGGGATACTCCAGTTACTAAGGGAGACAAGTTTAGTCTAAATTAGTGCCCAAAGGGGAATTTGGAAATTGAGGAAATGCAACAGATTCCCCATGCATCAGCTATCGGGAGTTTGATGTATTCCCAAATATGTATGCGTCCATACATAACATACATAGTTGGGGTTCTAGGCAGATATTTAAGCAATTCAGGAATAGACCATTGGAAAACAGCAAAAAGGGTCATAAGATATTTAAAGAGAACAAAAGATTATATGCTCACATACAGGAGGTCAGACCAGTTGGAGATCGCTGGGTTTTCTGACTCAGATTTTGCAGGATGTCAAGAATTTGTAGCATGCTATGAGACATCAAATCATGGAATATGGCTGAGAAATTTTGTCACAGGGCTGCAAATTGTGAAAGGCATTGAAAGACCACTTAAGTTATATTGTGACAATAAATCAGCTGTATTGTTAAGGAAAGAGTACAAAGTGGACAGATTTCCATAGAACACTTAAGGACAAACTCCATGATAGCATATCCTCTAACTAAAGGACTTCAGCCCAAGGTCTTTCATGAGCATGTTGCTCACATGGGTGTTTTACGGTTTGAGGAATTTGTGGTTTAGTGGGAGTTAGTCATTTTCATATATTTTATGTTCTATGTTTAATTTTATATATGTATACATTGTTTTTGGGACATATTTGGTTATCTATAGATATGCGGTTTTCTTTTTCATTCATTACACTTTGTACATTAAGGTTATTGTATCGATCTCGATAAGTTAAAGTTTGGACCAGTTGAAAATAGACGTGTACAGATCACCTTCACGTAATTTTCATGCTACACATTTCATGATGAATCCATGTCATTTGATTATGTTAGGATGAGTAATCATTGTTGGTTTTAATTGCGATAATGCAATGAAAAGCTGGTTTGGTTCTATATCCTGATATGATTAATGGACAAGACTTTTGGAATATGCTAAAGGAATATAATGACAATTTTGAGCTCATAAAGTCTAACACATTTGTAAGGTTGTAAAAACATATATATTTGTGACCAGTGGGAGATTGTTGGCAAATTTTGGGTCATGTATATATATGATACATATTTAAATGTGTTAGGGTCATTATTTATTAAGCCAAATAATAAATTGATCTGAATAAATTAAAGTTTTGGCTAAAGACATATGTCATGAAAATATGATTGTGTAGAGACCATAGAGTAATTTTTAATTTGATGAGGGGCCAAATTGAAAATACTAAAACTTAAGTAATTAACCTAATTTTGGTTATATAAAGGGTCATGGTCCCCTTCGAGAGCACACGGACAGAACACGATTACAGTCTCGTTCTTTTCTTTCTATCCCCATCAAGAGAGAAAATCAAGAGGGAAATACTGAGTGCTTCTTCAGGTGGAAGACCATAAGATCAACTCAAAAGTGCTCTACAAAGGATATCGTCATTATGACCAATTCAGGTACGCTTTCGCATTTAGTTTATAACATGTTTACAGTATGGAATTATTGATATATGTTTGATCATTAGAATGAAGATCATATTCAATTAAAGTTTAACCTAACATCGCATCCACGATTTTCAACAATTTAATAATAATAATAATAATGGATTCGTGATTGGATGAAGTAAATGCATGCTGCATGGAAACCATTTGTTTAGTCAGCAACGGAAACTATTTTGATCAATAAAATTGTTATTTTCAAAACTTTTCCAATAACCTAACTTCACAAATGGGTTTCAAAACTCAAAAGAATAAAATATAGATAAAAAATGGTGGCAAAATCAGACAAGAAAACAAAAGTGTCATTTGTTTCGTTTCATTTTCAACTAAGAGACTGTAACATTGTGGTATTATTTCAACAAAATGGAGATGGCTTTTCAGATATCACATGATCTTTTTGGTACTAGAGATTATGACTTTTGAACTGTGAATTTTTCTTCGGCTCCTTTGGTTTAAAGGAAAATGAAGAGTAGAAAATAGTAATGCGCAAGTAGAAAAAAATATATTTCTTATTTGATATCAATGAAGTTGAAAAAAAAATACCACTTTTCATGTGTATATTTTATCTTTTACTTGTTTATGATTAAAAAAAGTGTAAAATATAATAAAAATATTATTTATTTTTATATTACTAATTTTATATATTTTTTATTTTTAAACTGATATTATTTGTTAATTTTAAAAAATAAATTATTTTTAAAGTAAAAAGTATTTTATAATTATATATTAAAACATATATTAATGAAAAAGTTAGATATTACTTGAAATTTAATTTAAAAAATTATTTCATTTATAAAAAAAATAATTATTTAAATTATTTTATAATAAAATAAATATTTAATTTTAATTAATTTATTAATTTTTTAAATGAACAATTTATTTTATTTTATGTTTTTTAAATAAATAGGTATATTTTTTACTCTAGTTTTTTTTTCTTAACACTTTCTTTTTTCTTTTTAAGATATCCTTAATTTTTCCATATAGACATACAAACAAAAGTGAATGTGTGTGATTCAATAATAATAATAATAATAATAATAATAATAATAATAATAATAATAATAATAATAATAATAATAATAATTATTATTATTATTATTATTATTATTATATTAAATTTAAAACTAATGTATTTAGAAAATTAGCTGCCCATGCATTAAATTTAGACGTGTCCAAATGAGTTTGATTTAATGAGTCAAAATTTTAAAAAATAGAATTAAATAATAAAAAGTTATATTATTTTATTATGGATTAGATTGGTCAATATAATTTTCTTTTATGATCTGCCAGGTTAAACGAACTTGATTATAATATCTAAATAAACTTATTAGAAAGTTTAATTTCCATTACAAATCATGATAATTTCTCCTTACGTTCAATATTTCAACTTTAAGGACTATTTTATTTTAAAAAAAAATCGAGTTTTTTGTTTTTATTTTATTAAATAAGATAATTATAATGTTTTTTTGAAATTATGAAATAAAGTAATTAATATTTGGTTAAAAAAATAATATTTGATTAAAAAAAAACAAAGAAAACTTGCTTAAAATGTCAATTTTCTCATTTAAATTTGGAAATAAAATATGACAAATGACTCTCTATATAGTTTTTTTTTTCACTTAAATAAAACCACATAAACAAAATATTTTGCACGTTTAAATAAGTATTTGTAAGGATGAGAAATTTATAAATTGTTTTATCTGACCTAATTTATATAATGCTTATATATATATATATATATATATATATATATATATATATATATATATAAGTATTAACAGAAATTTTACATTAATTTCTATTAGCAAGCTCGCAACAGAAGATGGTAAAAAACCAGTGATGGAAACAAAAAGTTAAACATCTACGTTTCTTTTTTGTGTGTTAAAAGGTCACAAAAACCAAAAAGAATCGAAGAAATATGCATACTAAAAAATTTATAACCTACCAATAAATAAACACTTATTTAATTTTATTCATACGAGACTATTATACATAGGCTAAAATATTCTCTATATTTTGTTTCTAAAATATTGCTATTAATTATATTCTAAAATAAACTTTTTTTCTATATAACTGTCAATATTTTTCTTATTTCTTATATTTAATTACAAAATAAAATAATGAATACGATATGCTTACAAATTGTTTAAAAACATAAAATAATCTCTGAAACCATATAGTTTGTGTGGACAAGAGAGAAAACGCGTAATGCATGAGCTAAAAATGAATGAAATCCAATCCAGTCGAAGATCACATGCACTGTTGATGAAGTCAGATGAGAAAATAAAAGGAAAAAGAAAGAAAGTCAAAACATTAATTGCAAGGAAGGGGATTTACAGTTATTTATGAGTGTGTTTGAAAAAAGTAGAGAGTTTGATGAACACGTTTTGCAATGTGGCGTTGTTTGAAGTTCAACCTTAAACAGTGAAAATCTTGTATACCAGCTGAGGCTAGTTATTTGCATGACCCTGCCATGAATACGTAGCATATCGGTGGTGCACTGTAGCACAGTCTATCATGGTAGCGTTTTTCTGTTGCATGTTCATCGTTCATGCACAACACAATCCACCGTAAACTCATCCTCTGATCATGGAGGAAAACTACAACAATGTCTGGTTTACACAGTGAGTGAGTGACTAAACTAGTTGTTGCACTTTAACAATTTCTTTTTTTCTGCATTTTCTTCGACGCGTTTTTCTGCTATATCTCAACTGCAGTTCATTTAATGAAAACCATTTATAATATTAATGTAGTTTTTCTGGTATAAACATCATGAACTTTACTACTATTAATAATAATTTTGGTGATTTATTATACGTCTTATATTCTTAGAAAATTCTCAAAATTTACATGCTGAGATGGATAACTGAGTGTGATGCACTGGTTTGACAGTTCAAAGTTGACTGTATGTGACTACGTGGAACAATATTTTAAATCAACAAATTAGTCGTTTTGTTAGGCAGAAGAACTTACTTTAAATTACTATTTGGCCCTTGATGCAAGTTTTTGCATGCATTTTGCTTACGCCATTTTTTTTTTTGCATGATCAAATTTCTAGCTCATTTTAATTATTCGAGTATGTATTTAACACAGTATGTCGATTAGTATATAAAAATAAACCTTCATTGTTTGAGAATATATAATTTTTAAGCAGCAATAATTATGATGGTGAGAGTCTCAAACTAGTGATAGTGAATTTGCAAGTGAATTAATCAACACAAATTCAATCTCTTGAAGACAAGAATAGTCACTGTTCATTAAGAAAGTAATTTTCAGTTCATTATAACCTGCATGCTTTCTGTTCAATGAGTTAAAATTATATAAATATGTTTATATATTTACAATTTCTTTTTTAATATTAATTTATTATTGATTAATAATATATTATTTAACTTTTATAAAATTCATTTTTAAAATTCGTGTCATTTATATTGGGAGAGTTGGACATATATAATAAAATTAGTTTTCAAACAAAATAGTAAAAATTTGAGCGTATAATCATAATATATATATATATATATATATATATATATATATATATATATACATATTACTCTACTCATGACATTATCTAAAAAATCCTATAAATCTATTTTTTTAATATTATATATTATTTGACATATAAAATTTAATAATTAATATTTATTATTCAGAATAATTAGAATTTTTTTTTTCGATTCTTACAATATCGAAAATTTCCCGTAAGATTTGTAGTTCTTCGAATATTCAAAATATTCTTTTCAAGAAACAATTGGTAATGCTTTCAAAACCCGAGTATGTGTTTGTAAAAGGCACTTTTATGCTTAATTAGGTTAAAAGATGAATATTTGTATTATAATAATGATCAATAAATGCATATAGTGAGTATAGCCAATGTAGATTTTTCATCAAATTAATCACTCTTCTTCTTGAGAGGTGAGGAAAATCATGATAATTATTTAACTTATATATAAATTTATGATTTTAATCTTAAATTTAGTGATAATTAAATATGTTTATTTATATATTTATAATTTTTATCATCTCACATTTTTATATTTTTATATTTTTTATTATTTATTAATATAATCTTCCTTGATGAAGATCATGTCACCACTAAATTTAAAATTCTTAAAAAAAAAAGATGAAACCTTAAAAACTTCATAATTGATACTTCATTAAATAATTCATTTAGTAATTCAAAATTACTATATATGTTGTATAAAAGTATACAAAACATAAAACATACAATTCCTAAAACTGTAAATTTTTACATGGGTAAATGGAATCGCATTAATTTATAAAATATTTTATATTCATCCTATATGTATATAGCCTTGTAAATTTTCTCCAGATTATAGACACGTGAAGCAAGTAATAAACATAAGAGTGAAAGGACGGTACCGAATCCCATTGACTTGAACATGTTTCTTAGGTGGATTGCTTCTACTTAGCCTCCTACTATATATATATACACGCATTCTCCCTCATTATCCTACAGCTACCAATTACGCGCTCCTTTGTTTCCGTGTCTTTGTTTTTCTCTCTTTCTCTTTTTCTGAGACAAGCTACAACCATTGATTCCATCATCAAAGACGTGTTGGGAATCTTTTTGTGATATAGCTCCATCTTCTTCATCATGACCAAGTCCTCTAGTGAAAAGAATGGACTGAAGAAGGGTCCATGGACCCCAGAGGAAGATCAGAAGCTCATCGATTACATTCAGAAACATGGACATGGCAAATGGCGAACCCTTCCAAAAAATGCAGGTACCTACTTCAATCTTTCAATATTCTATTATCAAACAATCTTTAAAAATAAATCTTTTATATTATTTAAGAAAATTTTTAAATCATACCAACTAGTTATTTATTACACTGCCAAACCGTGTCAACCTCTGCAGTGAAGATCTTGAATAAGATGTTACATGAATCAATAAACAATTTACCACACCAAATAAGATGAGCTCATGAACTCATATTTGAACTTTTTGTAGTTCTCATATATTTTAACATAAACCTTTGCATATTGTTTGGGACATAGGACTAAAAAGATGTGGAAAGAGTTGTCGGCTTCGCTGGGCTAACTACTTGAGACCTGATATAAAGAGAGGGAGATTCTCATTCGAAGAAGAAGAAGCCATCATTCAGCTACACAGTGTTCTGGGAAACAAGTAAGTAATAGATTAAAGTCCTGAATTATTTTTCTTGGTCCTAACCTTTTTTTTCCTTGTTGGTACATGCATATTCTTCATTCTACTTTAACAATGCATTAAAAAAAAGCACCCTTTTTGAATTTGCATATATGATATACAGAAACGCCAACTAATTCATGGACTTTAAATATTGTGAAGCATTATAATTCATTTTATTGTTGGAGAATGGTAGCTAGGCGACTATGCAAAGTCAATGATACATAAAATAACAAACAATATTTTCTTCTTTGGTCACTTTGTAGTCGCACAGCACAGCACAGCAGATTAATTATTGCCATCTAAATGGAAAAATTTTGTCCTGCACAGGTGGTCTACAATTGCTGCTAACTTGCCAGGAAGAACAGATAATGAGATCAAGAATTATTGGAACACACACATCAAGAAAAAGCTATTTAAGATGGGGATTGATCCTGTGACTCACACACCACGCCTTGATGTTCTACAACTTGCCTCCATTCTCAACACATCTTTATTCAACTCATCACCCCAATTTACCTATCCTTTTCTTTCTGGGGTTGGAAGATCAGTGATAAACCCAAGCCAGCTGTTAAGTTTGCTCTCCACTCTGCTGTCATGTCAAAGCAGGAACAACCCTGATATTGTGTTGAATCATAATAGTTACCAGCAAAATAATAACCAACTTAGTGGTAGCACTCTACTGCAAAATCAACCCCAATGTTCCCAAATGCAACTTGATACTTTACAAACCTTCCAACCAAACCAACCCCAGGTTTCACTTCAAGAAAACCTTATTGCTAAGTCTAATCCATTGAACATGGAACACCAACTGATGAAAAGTAAATTAGAGCATCAAATCTCTCCAGTTGCTACCTCTTTTAGCCACCAAAACACCCTACCAAATTTGTGGCACTATAACAATGAAGACAACATATCAGACCTCTCCATTGCCCAATCATCATCAGCTATGCAGTGTTTGTCTTCACCCAAGTTCAACTCTATACTCAACAATCTCTTGGAAAATCAGAATCTGTGTAACAACGAGGGGATGCCAAATTTTAATTTAAGTTCACTACTATCGTCCACGCCCTCATCTTCTAGCCCAAGTACTTTGAATTCATCATCTTCCACGACATTTGTCAACGGAACCACAGAAGATGAAAGGGACACTTACGGCAGCAACATGTTAACGTATAGCATTTCAAATGGCTTGAATAACTCTGGACTTTTGTGATGGAAGTTGAGCTGAATTGTGCTTTAGTTTGTTATATAGTATCTCAAAATTTGTTTATTTCGGTTCGGACTGTTTTCAGATTTTGTTATTACAACTATGAAATATTATTACTATATGTTTGCTAGCTTAACTGTTGTTCGTAGATTCTTGTTTTGCCATTAAATGTCTTAAAATAATTAATTTCTTTTTTAATTAATTTCTTTTTTCTTCGAGAGTTTAAAATGTTACATAACCTATTTACTTAAAATTGTATTATGCATGTAAGTTAACTACGTACTTCAAATTAAACCGGTCGCGAATAAATAAAAAAAAATTGAATTTTTCAACGGATAAAATTTGAGCTGATATTTCAACCACTAAATTATTACGATTTTTTGATAATAACTTATAAATAAATTATATTTATATATAAATAAATATATATCTATATAAATATAAAATATATTAATATATAAATATATCAAAATATATAAATATATTTATATATTTTGATATATTTATATTTTTACATATTTATATATTTTAAATATTTATCGACGTAGTCGAGTAACTAATTGTTAATTTATCGATGGATATATTTAATTTATCGATAGATATATCCGTTTGAAATTAATTATTAATTTACCTACGGATATATTTATTGATAATTCTCGTCGATAATCACTTGATAATTTTTGTAAACTTATTTTTCGATTACTACATATCTATCGTTAATTATTCGTCAATAATTAATAATTAATGATATTTTTACGTAGACATAGCATCGCTGGAATTATTTGTCAAAAATGATGACCATGCACATGAATTATTTGTCACAAAATTATTATTAAGAACTACTTAGTGTCTTTATATGGAACATGTTTCATCTATTCATTTATCTAAAATCACATTAGCTATTATTCCAATGTGATTGTGAATGATTTAATATAAATTTAAACATGCAACTATTATTGCAATTCCTTTTTCCATTCCAAATAAATGGTTGGAATCTTAGAGTCGACTGAGAAGTTGAGTGGCTTTTGATCTGTAATTAGTTTAATTTAAAACTTTATTCAATAAACCCTTATGATAAAATAAAATGCCATAAATTTAATCATAAACTTTATTCAAATAAATGAGATAGAAAAAGTTTGTGTTAATAAAATTTTGACAAAAAATTGTTAAAGTATTTTAAAATGTATATAAATTATTAGCTATTTTGATAACTTTATATATAAAAGCATTTTCAAATACTCTTTAAATTACATGCATAAATTAGAGAAGGATAAAGTTATCGGTTATAAAATATTTATTTTAAAAAATATAAATAGTTTAAAAAAACTCACAGTAGATATAACTCTATTATTCCCTCTAGAGAAACTGTTTCGTATAGCATAATATAACGAGAAAGAGAAAATGTTAAATATAATATTTCCCACCTTATTTAAATTTTGCAATCATATATCTAAAGAACCACATGGAATTGGCCGGTTCAATCGGTCATAAACGCAATTTGAACGCTTGACTTCAAAATTGATTTGATGGGAAATTCGGCATAAAATTGGTTAAACTGGTTTAAAATCAAGCAAACTAGTCAAAACTGGTTCTTATTGACTCATTGGAAAAATAGTTAAAAAATCGAATAATATAATCATTATTATTATTATAATTCTAGTCTAATGTTATATCATCAATAATTATACATTGATTTAACTAGTTTTCAATGGTCATGATTAAAATAAATCAACGTAATATTTTCAGAACTTCAACATTGGTTAATATTTTCGTAGACATTATGAATATAGTTTCATTCTTATAAGCATTGTGTTATATATCTTTCAATTTCTGAACATGTGAGTTCTTTCTTTTTCGGTGTGTCTGATCTGGACCACTTGAAAAGCGAGGGAGGAATTGAAATGCAGAAAAGAAGGATGATGGACAGGGTTGAAGGGAATAGTGAGTGGAAAATGAAGGTTAATGCATGAGGCACCAAAGTTCCGTCTACGTATCTACTTGTCTTTCAAAGTTTTGACCTACCTAATGTGAGTATTACACTGTGTATCGCGCTATCTTCTGTTTTCAAAATCAAACATTGTCAGAGTTATATTTTATTTATTGGTAAAACTAAGACTAATACATGAATATTTTCCACTGCTATAGCATTGCGCTCATCCGAGCTTTTGACACCTGCCTCTGCTACCTCCATGTTTCACGTGCTAATTAATAATTAATTGTTGCATAATCTGAGAGTAAGAAAAAGGATATTGAGGAATACATGAAAAAGAAAAAATAAAAACAACCAATTTCTTAACGATAGGAGTTTATAGGGATGTTAATCTTTTATTTGAGTTTAGATTCATATTTTATTAGTGTTTTTTAATTTCGTTAAATCTCTTAAAAAATTGAATAATAATAATATCATAGTGATAATCAACAATTTAAGAATAATTATTATATGAAAGTCTTTTTGAAGATAAATCTATTATGATAAACTAGTAAGAATCATTAATAATTTTGTAAATAAAAAAATACATTTTCTATTTTTATAATTTATGCAAAGTTACTAAGTATATGTGTTTTATATTATTTATAATATGTGCAATTACAAAGTAATTATTTTTTTCTCACACCTATAGAATGCTCATCTTGTTCGAATATTCGAATTAGGTATGCTTGATTTTCTTTTACAATTATTCATACCATGCTAGAGGGTAGGGGAATAAAATAACACCTATAATTAGAGTTAATGCATGTACCCATTTTCTCCTTTCATTATTTTAGTAAAATTAAAACTAGTAAGGAATTCACCGATTTAGTATACGTTGATAAAAGAAGACAAATATTTTTTATTCTCATAATTTATTTTTAATAATATAATAATCAAAAGTAATATTTTATTTTAATCATTAAATTATATAAAAAAATAATCTAACTTACTATTGAAATGAGTGAATTCTTTTTCTATTAACTTTTATTTTTTTCCAACGACAGAAAATACAAGAAAAAAAATATGTTAATTTCACATATGCAAAAAAGTAAAAAAAAATTATCCTCTTCCCAATTCAAAGGCGAAATTTTTTTAAAACATCGAACATACATAATTGTAAGATCGATTATGTTTTTATATATTAGAAAAAATACTTTTTTTTTTATATTATTATAATAATAAATAATTAAAAATATATTAAAATAATAAATAATAATAAATAAATTTATTTTGTTTTTCACTATTTTTTTTAATCTAAACAATTT